TAGGATATTGAAGATGAACAAATCACCTCATTTTTCGAAAAGATAAGGTAGTTCGGTGTTCCTTTGTGGAAGGGAACAGGGAAGAAATAGAATTGGGCATAGAGAACAGAGTTGTTCTGTTCTGTCAGCCTGACAGCCTCAGCAGATCCTACCTGTAGCTTTGGAGCTGAAATGGCCTGTGAGAGTTAACGCAGGAGGAGGGACCAACATCCCTAAACTTTGATGTTTTGTTTTTGATCTATAACTGGATGTAGGCCACTCCTAGAAGTACTTGACCTTGGGTGATGTAGCTATCTGCAGCTGGAGCAATTCCTGAAGGATTGATGAGGAATCTGGGTAGTGTGTTTCCATATTCACCCCTTGCAAGTTTTTTTGCAAATTTTAGGACTAATATGTATGAATTCAGTACCTATCACAAGTCTTGATACAAAGTAGATCCTCAGTAATGGGCAGCATGGTGTTTTTATTATTGGTTCTGTCCTGTTGAGAATTTTGTTTATTTCAGAAAAGACCAGTCTATACACATAAGATTTATGAAATTCAAAAGCTGGAAGGGATATTCAATCTTCTGGGAAAAAAGAATGAAATTTCAGTGTCCTTAATCAGGAAATTCTCTGACATCAGCGTAGCAACTTTTCTCTAGATAGGTCTAGGTCTCCTGAGTCAAGATAAACAAAAATAAACTATTGGGACTACATCAAAATAAAATGCTTTTGCACAGCAAAGGAAATAATCAACAGAACTAAAAGGCAAACTACAGAATGAGGAAAGGTATTTGCAAATTACATATCCAATAAAGGGTTAGTATCCAAAATATATAAAGAACTTACACAACTCCACACCCAAAACACAAATAATCCAATTAAAAAATGGGTGGAAGACATGAACAGACATTTCTCAACGAAGACATACAGATGGTCAATAGGCACATGAAAAGTTGCTCATCATCACTTATCAGGGAAATGACAGTTAAAACTACAATGAGATATCACCTCACACCTGTCAGAATGGCTAAAATCAACAGCACAAGAAACAACAGGTGTTGGCGAGGATGTGGAGAAAAAGGAACCTTTGTGCACTGTTGGTGGGAATGCAAACTGGTCCAGCCACTCTGGAAAATGGTATGGAGTTTCCTCAGAAAGTTAAAAATAGAACTATCCTACGATCCAGCAGTTGCACTACTGGATGTTTACCTAAAGGATACAAAAACACTAATTCAAAGGGATGCATGCACCCTATGTTTATAGAAGCATTATTTACAATAGTCAAGATAGGGAAGCAGCCCAAGTGTCCATTGATCGAAGGAATGGATAAAGGTAGGTGTGTGTGTGTGTGTGTGTGTGTGTGTGTGTGTGTGTGTGTGTGT